CATGTATATTGCATATTGCATAGGGATAAAGGTTAAAGGATTGAAAGGTTCCCTACTGAATAACTACTCTGATTCCCACCTAAACACTACATTTTGAAGATAAAACAAACAATTCATTTCTTCATTATTTGCCAGCCAATCCCGATTTTCCACCAGGATTTCAACCAGTAAACAAAAACAGGTACCTTAGCAGTGATTGGAGCAGGGGAGGGAGCAGGCCTCTTTCTCTGAGCATAGCCAGACAGACGGTAACAGTAGTGGGGCTTGCAGTAAAATTTCCCTGCAGGATAAAGGAGACAGACAAAGCACAAAAGCAAATAAAGTCAATGCATCAATAACTATATGCACTGCATATTCTACTAATTTCACCTCACAGAGTCCATAGGCATTATCTGTGCTGCAGAAGTAGACTGTGTGTGTGTCATTTAGAATCAGAAAAATCTTTTCTGTCTCGCGCGTCAGTGGGTTTCAGTCCCACAGCTAACAGCTACTCTGTCTCAATGAACAATCGGCTGCCTGTCCTCGAGCACAATAGACACCTCCCAGAGAGGAAAAATATGGAATCATGAGACTGCACTCGGCTCTGGAGTCAATGTAAAGTAATGTAATGTAACGGAAGATAATATCGTTTAAAGCTGAGATTTACACTTTAAAGCCACAAAGTGTTGAAGTTCCATGTGGTTATAGCATCTTGCAAATTATTCTGACGTACAAAGATGAGAGTCTGGTCAAATTTGGTGCAGTTTATGTGTTGCTTTCAGCTCATTCATTTCAGTGTCTCCGGGTTGTATCCATGGGTGAAGTGGAAGATTGTTGTCTGCCTACCATAGTCTCCTTTTTGATACAACCACTAGAGAGCGCTAAAGTCTCACATTTTCAAATTCGACAGATGGTTGTTTTAAAATGCTTAGACAGATGTGATTTTAGCTCCTTTAAAACAGATTGTTTTGGTTGGCTTTTAGCCCAAGTTTCATTCTGGGTTGTGATTCAGTTCATTCTGGCAGCAGTGGATGTTTGGGAACTTTATGACAGGTAAGATATCAATGGAACAGTCGGGGAGAAAAGAAACAAATGTTTATCTTAATGTTAAGTCGTACCATCCTCCACATCGAAGGCGTAGGAGGACAGTCGTAGCGTGGTGCCACAGTAGTCGCACTTGAAGCAGCTGCGATGGAAGAACTTCCCCTCTGCACTCAGCCTCTCCATCACGTACACACGCTTCCGACAGAAGAAGCACACATCGCTGCCACCGATGTTGACGGGGAACTCTTTTCTGAGGGAGCCCTGTGGGAGGATAGAGCATCGATTCGTTTTTAGAAAAGAAATAACAATGGAAACACATGGGGGACGGTAGGTTTAAATAGATGCACAATATCCAAGATTTAGTGGACATGAAGCCACAGGCTCACACAACAGGCCACTTTCACTGTCTGCTTGGTATAACAATACCACAAGAGAGCAAGTCAATGGTTATTGATCAGTGGGAGTGGGGATCGCTGAGCAAATGATCTACAAACACAACAGTATCCAAAACTGCAGTTACTTGTTGAGCAAACACACACTCTACAACTAAAAGGAGGTGGATTAACTGTGACAACAAGCTAACACATCAATGTGACAACAACATATCATTGTGCTGATGATGTGGGGGAAAACAACACTCTCGGGCAAGGGAGGCTTTTATCTGTGCAGCCACGTGCCTTCTACCCCTGGGACAACATGCTTACCAAATCCCTCTTTTCAGGTGGGGGCTTAGGATCTTCCTGAGACTGAAGCTGATTGGCTATCTGCTCAGCCAATGAGCTAACTCCACCTGTGTACATCCTTACATAGCGCTATGAACAGCATTAGGGGGAAAAAGACAAGTGAACATTAGAAAGTGATGGATGACAAAAGAAAGGTAACGTGAGAATCAGAGGGAAGAGGTGGGAAGAGGACTGCGTAAGGAGACTGATAGGCATAGCGAGAAGAGCTTAAACATGGACGATGTTTACAAGCAACAGTGTCTGACATGACAAAGCAATGTTTCCATGCTCGATTGATCAAGCGTTAAGATGTGCTGGCAACCCCACCTAGCTGCAAAACCAAATATGTAATCAGAAAAACAAACTGCAAAGCTGTTAGAGTAACTTCTGCCCTCAGTCAAACAAATAATTCCAGAAATTCCACTGTGCATTTACTTGCCAACTAAGAGCATTATTGGATTTGGGACATTAGAAAAAGAGATCAACTAGCTCAGCATTTTGAAAGACAACAGCTACTGAGTGGAACTGTGCTGCATGATGACTACTACACATGCTTACACACTCAAGTAAAGCAGTCATGCTTCTTTTTCCATTCACATGCACAGACACACACACACACACACACACACACACAGTGGCACTCACAATGCATTGTTGTATTGCTAATCGAATAATAACTGTGAACAAAAGAAATTGCTTGGAGGGTCCATTCAGACTGGTTTGTTGTTATATGAATTCAGCAGTCTATAGTTTAAATCCTGAATTAATCCACTTCAGGATTTAAATCTATTAAAACAACAAAAAGCTATTTCATCCTCTATAGGGGAAGAATTGAGGTCATATGTAATATGAGGCAAATTTAAGCCATGCAAACTATTACTGTGGATGAGATTTGAGCACGCTTTGCTGTGCTGCAGCCCCGCTGCATTGCAAAGTTGTTACTCCGCCACAGTTGGAACTGTGCTTGTCAACATGGAAATTACACTAGATGAGATATTTGCTGCCAAGCTGCTCTTCCAAACCACAACAACTACTAGGGACTCCCTTGGCAAAATAACTACAGGAATTATAATTGAGTCAAGCACGCCCCAGCTAAAATGTTTTGATATCTGTTCAGATAGAGACAGTCACAGTCATAAGAGGTGATTACTTTCCCCACATACTTATCACAACAACTACAGTAAACAATCAACACAGTTTAAATGAGTTTGTTAATATCTCACAAGCAGCCAGCTTTTAAAGCAAGTCTCACGAGAGTTTAAGTCATGTTAAGGAGCTTCTGTAATTAAGTGAGACAACGCAGAGTCCTCACAGACCAAGTGCAGGTGTAGTGTGTTAGCGTCACCACACTCCATTCCTTCCTGGCGTGAAACGACTACCTGTCTCAAGGTGTCAGAGGAGGAGGGGGGAGAGTCAGGGGGAGACTGGGATCGGGCCAGGTTCCATTGTTCCATAAAGAAACGTGAGGGCTTTTTCGCAGGCTCCACAAAAAGGAAGCAGAGAGGAGAGGTGTTAAAAGTTTTCCAAAATCTCTTGCACACTGTTTTCTGAAATATAAACTGTAAAAGCAAAAATGTTGTTTGAGAGCAGCCTGTTGGTCAGCTGTATTCCCTCTGGGCTTCGATGCTAACATGCTAGCATGTATTGCTGTGTGAAAGTGTGCTACTAACTGCTATTTCTAATTTGTATTCAATGTTCTATATGTTTCTCCTTTGTATTACTATTCCTATATATTCACCTGAGCATATGGCAAATAAAGTTTCTGAACTCAGACTCAAAATGAGTCATGTGTTTTCCGTTAAAAAGTCATTCCCTCTCGTGTTCCATGCTAACACATTAGCTTATATGCCTACGAGAGTAAAATAGGCAGCTAGCACTACTGAGATAAACATTTCTTAGTCCATTTTAACTAACTGTAGTTTAACTACTACTACTAAGTTTCAAGCTGAGATTTCATGAACCCTATCATTATAGTTTATATTCAGTTTTTTTTTTTTTCAGGAAATAAAATTACTTTATAGTTACTAAGTTCAGCCTTGCAAGTCTCCCATTGTCCATTTAGTACATGAACAGAGAAACTTGTTTTGTGTCAAATTTCACCTTCACAAAACTATATATTGTTTTATTCACTTACTATTTAGTGTTACTGATATTACAACTTCATATTTACAAGCTGTGGTATATGTTGAGGTGCTATACGTAAGCCAGATTTGGATATCTGTTCCTAAAAAGGGGGAATTGACAAACAAGGCAAGTCTCCCAAAAACTAATGCTAATCAGATTTTTGTGTTAGTAGGGACATTTCACCTGTGGTCCGGCTGGCTTGCCCTCAAACTGAGAAGCAAGTTGCTCAGCCCTCTCCTGAATACTAAGCACATATAACGGCATCTGTTCATCAGAGTGCGGAGGCCTTGCTGGCTCCTGCAGAGAAATAAATGATTCAGTCACAAAAGGGATGTACAAAGAAGAAACTGGAGTTACTCTCTGCCTTTTTAGTAGTTTCCAAAAACAATCTCCTTTCCAAAGTGCTTGTCATTGTGGTAAAAGCCACAGATGGTTAGTTAGCCATTGTTTTCATAGCTCCAGCTGGCACCCTTTAATTCATGCAGTAATGTAAGCCTGAGTAAGAAAACTATGAAAGTGATGCCCTACAGTTTGTGAGGCTGTCAAAAAACAAAAGACTAAACTTGACATAAATAAACACGAACTGAACAAGGTTGAGTGAGCCTTCAATTAAGGACTTGCTCTCCAAAGTATAAACTTCCATAAGAGGTTATTTTTCGGTACAACAGAGGGTGATGTGTTAAGAGTCACAGTCCACAGCACCAAAACCTAACCTTTCTGGAAGAGTCAGGAGAGGATAGTGGTGAACCAGGACTCTCAGTAAGGCCGCGGGACAAGTTCCACTGCTCTAAAAAGAAATGGGACGGCTTTTTCTTAGGCTCCAGGGAGAAAAGAGGAATGGTTGAAAGAAGGAATTAGACCTTGGAGGACGTGCATATGTGCACCAATAGCATGTTCTGTATATACAGTCTGGGGCTAAGAAATGCACCCAATAAAACTTGATGACGCAACATCGGAAACCATGTTCTCACAAAATGTCCATGCATGGTGTTCACCTTTGGTGGCCTGTCAGGTTTGCCTTTAAACCTGGAGATTAGGCGCTCAGCCCTCTCCTGTATACCGGGTATGTGAATGGGTCCTGGGTCTGTCAGGTGCAGCGGCTTCCACTCCTGCCAAGGAAGTTCTGTTGAGACTTTGATGATGATTTGGGGTGCAGCTTATACAAAGAAATAAGATTTAGCTGTTTCTTCCACAAAGAAGTCTGTTTACAGCTACACCAACCGGTATCTTATTTAAAAAAATGCCAACCACAAACAACGGAGAGAGCAGTGACAAGCTGAACACATATCCATGCAATCATTCATTTACTCTACCCCATAATTCAAAGGCATCTCGTAGTATTCAAGTTCTTCTTCCTCCGGACTTTTACGCAAATGCTTGAAGGCAGAAATGAGCAGATACATACCGTATTAACATTTTGGTTTGCATCGGGCATAAACAGATTCTCACAAGAGGATTTGTTGATTTCCGTGCTTATAGAACAGCTTGTTATTCAATCTCTGACAGAGCCTGATAATAAATTAAAACTACCCATGGTCCCTTGAGTCTACATTTATTTACAAGCCGTCACATCCCAACAACATACCCTTCAGTATGAAAACAAGCAGCTCCTCTGATACACAGGGAAGTAAACAAGACTGTAACCTCTCTAGGAAATTCTTTAGGGGAACTGCAGTGTTTTGTTTTTATTTACACTGCACACTACAGAGGTCAGATCTGAGGGACGTAATTAGAATGGATGCTTTTAGAGAACAAAAAGAGGAGTAGGGGTAAGAGGACACTAGATGGGTTTGCTGTGGATTTGTGGTGAAGAGATAAACACAAACACAGACAGATACAGCAGACTATGTGTCACCTCTGAGTGAAGAGAGAGCGAGGAAGTGGAGGAGGAAGAAGGGAGCAGAATGGTTTTCTTTGGGCAGCTCCGAGAGCCCGAGCTGGACTGTTGGTCTGCACCACTTCTGGCCTTGAGAGATGAGGGACAGGAACAGCACATTCAGCAGAAGATGATGAGAATGATGATGAAAATGATGAGCAATTGCTAGTAGAAGTAGAATATGCTTCATACTCCTAATTGGTGTCATTCACGGTAGGACAATACATTTTGATGCTTGCAAAATACTGTAAAACTCAGAGAGGAACTTATATCTTAAAACATTTGCACACAGACTGAGTAATCCATTCGGTTAATAGAATTAGAATTGACACACTGGCACACACATATCCACACAGATACCCTAAAAAAACAGACTACACACAAAGTGTATATGGCAAAAAAAAAAAACCCACTTGGACCTACAGTCCAAGGGCTATCAGCGATACATTTCCAAAAGGGAGAATAATTCACTGGTGCTGTAATTAAGCTTGATATAAAGTTTAAAGGGTAGTGTATAGAATTTTTTCCCTATACTTGGCATCAAAAGAAAAAAAATGAAAACTAAAATTATTAAGTAAAACAATCCTAAGGACAAGGCATGGAGAGATTTACTTTATGAAAAGAGATATACCACAATTACCACTGAATATAAGAGTGGCTTAAATAATTTCTTCCTGAACACTTTGTGTTGAGAACTACTTAGGATTATCAAGATTATTATACAGTATGTCTTTACAAATTACTTTTAGTTAATTTACTCAGCAGCTAAAGGCTTACTGTGCAGCGAGAGGACATTTAAGAACAGCGGTGGATGAAATCCCATTAAACAGGAGAGTCTGAAGCTTTAAATCAATGTCTGTGAGACGAATGCTTAATCTAGTGACAAGACAACAAAGGACAACTTTCTAAGTATCAGCAGGAGAACACTGGTGATGGCACTTAACTGTGCTGACTCCGACAGAACAGTAAAGCAGAATGACAACCAGCTGGCTACAGCTGGTCTTCTACTGAGTCTGGAAGAGTGAATGAAGTGCTGGATCTTATTTCTCAGTGAGCAACATTTCAACACACCTACGAGTCGGGTTGGTGGCTAACAAAGTGGCAACAACTTAACTGTATCTACTTCCATAGTGAGGGTAGAAGAATAGAAGGGAACCTTGAACTGGAGCTGTCAGGCCACAGAAAAGTAGTAGAAAAGGTAACAAGAAAGGGAGGGAAGGTAGACATCATAGAGGAGACTATCCATTCTGTTTTCCTTACAGTATCTGGTCTGATATGTTTTTTCCATTCTTCAACACATGCCCAACACTTAAACTTCAACAGGTTTGTTAGGCCTCAAGCATACACACGCTTCTCTGGTGAGAAAACATGAGAAAATAGAGCTTTGCTTGTTTAGAAGATATCTACACAGGGTACCTCTAACTGGCTAACTACTGCTAACAAAAGCCAACTGTCCATTCTTATGTTAATGTATACACTCTTCTTCTAAGCTTGCATTTTAAACATCGAAGGAAAATAATCATTAGTTAGCATTTTATGACCATGCATTACCAGGCATTTTTATCATAACCCATCCTACATCTGCCTAAACAAACCCACCATTCCATGAGCTGTCACTGCCTACAAATTTGAATCTGTTTACTGCTGACTTGTTTCAATGCAGCTGCACAATCATTTGATTCACATAGTTTAAACAGTTGTTGACAAGGTTTCAGAGTTGTGAAAACATCTGAACATGCCCTTCATTTCGCTGATTGATCTGCGTGGGGCTTATTTGGCTCTCACTGGCTGTTTTCCATAATCGTGTATTGCATAATGAGCTCGGGAAATGTTGCTGTCGTGCCTGATGAGCCTACCTTCCCTTCCCCTTGCTTCTGGATTGAAAGGCCAATCCATCTCCATCTGTACAGGGGTGAATGTGGACTTAATGGGATGTGAAAGGAGTTGGAGGACTACCAGGCCTGCGTAGCTAACCATACCTGCTCCCTTCTGTTGGGCAGTGTCTGACACTTGATCATTTCTTTGTAGCGAATGCTCAGCTGCTCTTGCTGCTGTGTGCGTCTCTGAACCAGGACAGGAGAAACCATGATGGAGTCACACTCTTGCGTGTCTCTCAGACAAACACACACACACAAAACTGCACAGCTATTTGATTGAGGAGTTAAAAAACACTCACACAGTCTTTGTTAACTATACAACAATAGCTGTTAAGTTAATTCCTCCAAATTGCACACAACAGATCTGCAGACTGTCTACAGAGAAGGTGAGGCTCAGACTAGTACGGGTCAACACAAAGCAGCTTTCCCCACTACGACACACCACACAGACATATGGTTAGATGAGTCTAGTTGTTAGTCTCTATGGGGATAAGGTGGGGCGGCTCCACTCTTTACCTTTCTCCATGCTGGGACAGGTGCCAGGCGTACTGGCTCATTCACAGGGGTTTGGGGCGGGGAGGGGGGCAAAAGGCGGTCCAGATTGGGCAGAGATTCCCCCTTTGTGGTCAGATAACGATGAGTGACAGCGAGCGTGGCCAGAAAGAGGCCCGAATAACCATGCAAGGCATCATGAAATAGTCCATGATGGGAGGTAGAAACAAGAGAGAGAGAAAAAAACAGAAAGAAGGAAGTGAATCATGGGAGGATGGAGTCACAGTGGGTGGAAAATGTGTTCAAAACTAATAAGGAAATGACAGGCAGTCATAAGAAGATCATGCTGAGTGAGTTGTATAGCATTTATAATAGCACTTAAGAGATATTACACAGTTAATGGCATATAGGATGTACATCTATAATAGATGGAAAAAGAGGAAACACACTAATTGTGTGCATAAAATATCTTTAGTCAAGCAAAACCAACACTATTTAGCCTTTATAAACCCTTAAGGACTTCCCAACAAACCTTCCCATTAGTTATTATTAAGTTTTGTACTAACATATAAATATACTGAGCTATTTTCATAGAGTTCTGATGGCCAAAACAATACACAAACAGAAGCTTTAATATAAAAAGAACATCAAATCAGATGCAGCTATTCCAGGGCACACAGTAACAAGACATTTTCTAAAACAGCAACAGTGGAGAGCTGTCTTTCTCTTAATCAACAATACTGTCTAGTGTCCCCAGTAGCCCACTTCTCCCTCCCACTCTGAGCAGCAAGCAAACCAAAGCTCGGCGAACCAATTCACCCGAGCCCAACAAGCCCGGTCAGCATTGTGAGGCCACCTACATGAACCAGGAACAATACCAAGCCTGACCGATATTAGCATTCTGGGCCCTCAGCTCATTAATACAGTGGCCTACAGCTCGTCCATCATGAGACTAGAGGCCCTGTCGCACAGGCACCGAAGCTACATGTTCACCAACACACTCACTGTAAGGAAAAACAAACCACAATAATCTCAACTCCTGCTACATTCAGGAAGTCTGAACATATCTTCCCTGCTGCTTCATCTTTCCTCAGGGTAGGAGCTTTTTCAATCCCCCCAGCTGTAAAACCTGGAGATGAACCACGCGACTTCCTCCATACCTGTCGTTTGAGTCCTGAATGCTGTGCTGGAGCGTTCTCCTCAAACTTGGCGAGCAGCTGGGTGGCCATGACCTTGACTTTGTTATGGTTCCCCACAGGGGAGGAGTCCATTTTTCTCTCCGACAGGATAGCTGGGACAGATGGCCTGTCGTCGCGGCCACTCCTGGATACCTCCTCCTGCGAGAAAATAGAAAAACAGTAAAAAAAGAAAAGTTTTCTGCCCTGTTGCTGTCAGTCTAGTGGGATTAATTAGTCTGTTCTGGCTGGATTGGCTGCTCAAAACAATAATCACAAGCTCAACATCTGAGACTCTTCGCTGTCAGAACTACTCACATCTTCAGACTGGCTGGTTTTCCTTCTCTTCCCCAAACCGTCAACATCCTTCTCTTTTTTGTCCTGTTGATGACATGTCACGAGTTACTTTAATTCCTACTAAAACAATGACGTCAGGAAGTGCCATTTTTGATGTTTCAAGAAGGATCAAGAGATGCTAACAGGCATTTTTTAGACACTGACCTTTGGATTTCGTTTCCTGGAAATTGCTATGCTCTGACCGAGTTTGCTGAAGAAGGAGATTGGAGACTTGGTGCTGGCTATCAGTGCTGCCTTCTCCTCAGGACTCAAGTTGTGGTTATCTAAGCAGGAACAAAATGCAATTAAAAAAAGCATGAAAGAGCCCTTTAAATCCTCTCAGGATTACATGTAATTATGACACTGTAAATACAGACATCTCTCAATACCAGGCTACAGATGAAGCAGCCCTTATGCATCACCCACTCTCACCTCCAGGTGGCACTGTGTCCTTAAACATCTCATAGAACTGGCTGAGGTACATGACCATAGAGAGTTTGTCTGGCTCTACCACAGAAGACATCTCCTTGCCAGTCATGCAGGGCGAGATGCCAAATTCCCTCTCCGCCACGTCAAAAGCCAACTGGTTGTTCTTCTCCTGGTCTCGCTCGTCCAGAGAATCAAAGTCACTGAGTGCAGGAGGAAGAGGGAGGAGAGAGACACCAAAAGACCAAAGTGAGAATGAGATGGGACAGGGTAGGCGTGGTGAATGTAATGACAAAGGCAGAAGAACCTAACCATAAAGTAATTATCATTCATCTAAATAATCTTAAATTCTGCTGTTCCTATAAATGTAACACAAATACAGGGTACACATTCGCTGCTGAATTTAGCTGATTTTTAACGTCAAATTAGGTTGTAAGACAAAGTGAACTTCATACTATTTTTGTGTATGATGATTGAGAGGTGATTATATTTCATTTGAACCCCACAAGTGTATTATTCTATATATATTGTGTTTGAATATTGTTATAATCCATTTTCCCTTAAAGTCCCTTAAATCCAATTAAGAGCCATTAAGGTGTACTTAAGGGACATGGTCTTAATTTGGGTATTATTAAGTACAGGCAGTGGAAACAGGATGCGAACACAACCTTGACAACAGTTGCTTATTTACAAACAACAACAAACACAGAGCAACACTCATTCAATTGGAGTCGTGTTTCTGGCCACCAAACACATTTCAGTCCGATATTCACTCTCCTTTGAGTCCCGTTTTGGTCTCTACCACTTCCTGGGGGAAATATCTGGATCTTTAGCTGGAAAAATGTTCCACCATCTAATCATTAACTTTGTCTCTCTGCTGGCGCATGGTTGGTTTTTTAAGCTTTTTCTCCCAAAAACAGCTGCCTGTTGTGGCTGGAAACAATGCCATGAGAGTGGTGGGACAAAACAGTAAAGTTGTGGGCTGTAAAACACAAACAATGAGCTGAAAGATGGTTTAAATCTCTGTAGGGGAACTGCAGAGTCGGGGTGGTCATATGGGTTCATCACTACGAGCAACCACTTTCACATTACATAAGTCATTTGATTTATCGTTAACAGAAAATTATGTGTTATTGCAGCTTTGGATTTCTTTAATATCATCCAGATACCATGATTGGTGATCTCCCGATGTGCACTGTAATTTGAAAAAATTTAAATAAAAAGAACATGCACATGATTTCTTGCACACCAAATCAATGACCGTTTATCTGTCTCATTTTGTGATGAATCAGCAAGATCTCAGGGAAAAAAGCAAGAACAAATCAATATTTTCTAGCCACAATTATCCAGCTCTGGGTATAGTGGAAGTAAACTGACACTGAGCCGGCATTAAACACTAATGATTATGAAGAAGGATTTCTCTACAGCAGGTTTCTGTACGAGCATTACTGGAAAGGCCCTTATACTGGAGCTGAAAATACCATTAACATGAGTCATCAATACATCTCAACTGCACATACAGTCAATTTAAAAGCATTAGCAGTAGAACATCACATCAGGCACAGAGTGGACGCTCCACTCAATCCCCTTTAACCACCAGTCTTGTACAGTACATTTGTACACATGAACGCAGTTTTCCCAAAGCCCCTGCACTCCCCACCCTCCGTCCTCTCCTCCCATCATCTGGCCTATCAAAGGCAGCAGAGCACAACTGCTACATTGCTTGGTAAAAGGTCAGGCAGGACACTAATAGCTTATAATGTTAATTGCCACGTTTCCCTAAGAGGGTGACAAACTATATTAGACAATGTAGATGGAGACTGTGTTGTTTATAGTGTGTGTGAGGTTATGGAGAATGTTTATGTCTTTGTGTCTATGTGTGTGTGTGGGAGGGACAGCGGGGATATGTGGAGGGCTCCCTTAAGGGACCCAAGAGGCCATTATGACTGGTAGCTGTCACCTCATTTACAGTGATATACGGCTCAAAACCAAGGTCCCAACCAGACAATAAACATCATTAGCAACCAACAAATGCACATAAACACAGCAGGCAGGTCATTCCAGGCACTGCAGCGGTTTTAACCCTTTCCATCTAACCATAAAGAGATACACTTGGCAAGTGTTCACAACTTGGAAAACACATTTTCCATCTGTGTGAAAAGGTCCAGCGTTTAACATTTAGGAGGATCTACTGGCAGAATATATGGCATAGGTATGTTTTGGTTAGTGGTTTATCATCTGAAAATAAGATTTGTTGTGTTTTTGTTTCCTTAGAATGAGTGGTTTTCCCATTTCTACTGAGTACCTCATGTTTCTGCACTAGCCCAGAACAAACAAACCAAACACTGGCTGTAGATGGGGCCTTTTGCGTTTGATGCAAGACGTTTTAGTTGGTTGCAATCCGCTAGATGCCTTTAAATCCTACATGCTGGTCCTTTAATCTGTGCTCCTTGAGGTGTGTGTTCTGTACGTATGTCTTTCAGATACTCACATGAGATCCGGTCTGTATCGGTCAATGAGGGCGCACAGGGCCAGACCACTCTTCCAAGACATAGTAAGGTCTGTTACATTAACATTCCTGTATCCCTCCGTTTGTCTCTGGCACCAGTTTAGCAGTTTACTGGATCGAGCTATGGATTCTGGTGTGGCGGAGAAGAGAAAATTATAGGCTTGATGTTAAAGCAGCAGGTTGAACAGAATCTGGATTAAACATGGAAAGAAATATAAACTGTTTCTGGGCAGAACTACACATCTCTTGCTGGGCAATCTCATGGCCTTGGTCAGGCAAGGCTGAGCATAGGATCATAAAGTTTTGTCATCCATGGCCTCATCATCCATGTTAGTACCAGTCTTAACCAGCCAATGAGGAAGTATTATGAACCGTGAGAAAACTTTAACCGTCGTAAAGGAGGAAAAGGATGCAAATGAGAGGTTAGGAGAGGATGCAGAACTCACAGGAAACCTTTTAATGTTGAATATAACCAGGGTGCTCGGAATGAGAGTATCAATGACTGAGTTAGTACACGCAAAAATAACGTCTGAGGCTGCAGTCAGTCCATCCACAAGTTCCACCATTCCACTACACTTTAAACTTAGGAATTAGGTATCCCTGACAAGCAACACCATGCATTTGGACTTTGTGTTACCTTGCAACTGCTTGTCAAGCAGGCAATTGTCTAGAGTGAAAATAGTTCATCATTAAATTTCAGCAACAGTGATTGCAGCAACAATCCTACACTGATCAATCAGCACATTAAACCATGTCTTTAAAGCAGTAGGTAAAAGATACAAACCATTCCTGGCCAACTTGGGTGTTGACGAGTTGATCACATTCTCAATTTCAATGCGCATTTCCCTGGACTCCCCTGTGTCACAGAGGTGCCTCATCTGCAACAGACACATCATTACTACACATGTAGAATTTCAAACATACTACACGAACAAACTGTCTCTTGTTATAAAAATATGAAAGAATAAAAAGTCATAGAGCAGTTATCCTTGACCGATGCAATAATATAAATATTGTGTACAATGAATTAACAATAGAGACAAAGATGGCACCTGCGATTTGCTGGCCCTCACACTCACCTGGCTGGGCTTGAGGAAGTTAAGGCTAATGTTGGGGTAACGAGTAGTAGGATCCACGCTGTAGTGACTGAAGTTCTTGCTGACGTTTTCAGGTGTGGTTTGGGGCAGTAGACGGTATATACTCTCCCTAGAGCAAAAAGGAAAAAGTGAATTATACTATTCAGAATCAGAAATACTTTAATAATCCCAGGGGGAAATTATGTACTATATGTCCAGAATCTTACTAATGGAAGGAAACTATGGCAAAAGATTAAGAAAACATATCAACATTGTTATCAAAAAGTCACATTCCATTCAGCCTTTAGACCATTAGTACTAGCAGAGGTGGGATTGATGCTTGAAATAACATACAGGCACATTTCCTAGTAAAGCACTTAGAGATAAAAGGGTGTGTTTGAGGAGAGGGAACGTGTGTGTGTGTTTATGTGTGGCTGTGTGTGCACGAGTGAGTGAATGCGAGCACAAGAGTAGGGCGAGTCTCGGTTTGTATGCATCAGTGTTTCCACACCCTCACCTCTCAGCAAGCACCTCAAGAGGGGTTTTTCCCTGAGCCCAGCTCTTCACCATCCAGCCTGAGTCCATGGCTGCCAGGAAACCTCGGGCGATGCCAGTGCCCATGGGCCAGAAGGGCTGGAGACAACAGCGAACACCACATTCAATAACCAAATATGGCCACAGAAGAAGCAAGATGTAAAAGTAAAAAAAACAAAAACAAGATGGGTAGGAACTATAACTGAGATTTAAATAACTTCAATTTTGCAAGTGTAGAACAGTAAAATGTGGTCTTTAAAACCCTCCGCTGTCCCTCTTACCTCCAACAAGCTGTCACCCACGAGCGCCACCAGAAGCTGGTGACCATGGCGTTGGCGCACCATGGCGGCGTTCTCTGAAGCGTACATGCAGGTGAAGTCGAACATGGCTACGTCTGGCTGGCCGTAGTGGTTGATGGCAAAGTCCAGAGTGGGCAGCTGGTGGTTGGTGGAAAAATCTGCAGCCTCACGGGCATAAGACAGCAGGGCAGCCTGGTCCACATTAGCCCTGGACAGTAGCAGCTCTGTGTCTGCATAGTCCTGCATAGAGATGAGGCACATGAGAGTAGCAGTGGTTTTTAGATGAAAGCTAATACAACCAGAGATGTCCAGGGAATGGGATGAAACTTGAATAATCAGCAGTTCTGGAAGTAGTCCTCAAACTAAACCAAGCCATGATGCAAAACAAAAAAATGTGCTGGCAGCTATCACAGAACGCTAAAAACACAGATATACAAGTGATGAAAAACGACAAGTTGTCCTGACAGACATAGGAGAACAATAGACAAAGCCCATCTGTTTTCTGTTTTTAATATTACAATATAAATATTAATATAATCTCATAATCTGTCTTTCCCACAGTTTCACAGAAATGAATTGTTAAATATACCTTGTGTACTGATGTAGAACAATGGTAAAAACTGTTCTTGGATCCGTTTGTAATGCTATTGCAAGATTACTGGAAAATTGTCAGTTTCTGTGGCCTTGGCATATGATAAATAACTCGTTTTCTCAGCTTAGTTGCACATAATGGATAAAACACAAAATCCTAAAATAATTGAAGACAGAAATCTTATGCTTTAGCCCCAATTTATAGAATAAAAGTTCCCTTGTACAGGTAGGACCCCATTTACACCTGGTATTAACATACAATCTGTATCTCAATACATATCTTATCTGGATATGGAAAAAACAAGTTATTATAAGGTGTTCAAGTATGCTGAATACTTTGCAGTGACATCAACCAGACCCCATTTGGAGGTAGTTTGGCTCGCGTTGTGATCTGATCTCAGGCTAGTATATAAAACGCATTATTTAGAAAAAAACAACTAACCCGTTCAGCAGCATTGCTACCGGTGAACTGCCAAAGTCTGTGTTTGTAAAAGGTCTGTCAGCTATGTTTCTACATTTATTTCCATCATAATGCTAGTGGAATAAAAAAGGTGTGATCACATGTTATTATTTAGATAAACTACCAAGATTTAGATTGCATGTTCATACCTGTTGGAAACAAGGGCCAAAGAGTTACACTGACATGTAAGCAAGTGTAATACATTTTTTATGAAGGAATATGTGACATATGGCAATCATTGGCGGAACTGTACCTGAAAAAACAAAGCCTCTGAACTAAGAAACAATTTGAACTTACAACCCCTTTAAGACTCCACTGTGCTACAAAGAGGCCCAAACACTTGCAGTGAAATGAACTTTGCAGTTTACAGGTCTCTCCGACATGTAGCATCAAATCACTGCATGCTTTCAAAGTGACATGTTTTCATAGAGGGCGGTGAGAGGCACATTCTTCCATCTTCAGGCTCCCTGCTTACCAGTGCCAGGCTGGTGGTAGTGATGGTGGGTGAGGGGAAGGGCAGGGTAGTGGAAGATATGAATGGCTTGTTTTCTGATTTGCGGTGCTGCCTTGAACTGTGTGGACTGGCCGCCCTTCTACCATCCCTTCCACCCTTCCTCTATCCCTTTCAAAGGGGCAGGGCAGAATTTCATTGCTATAAAAGGATCTGTCAAGGACTTTGTATTAAAAGGGAAATCCCACAAGTTACTATACCAGTAAATTATGACTTTTCATTAACATGTGCCTACATACTCCAAATCCCCTCTGGCTTCAGACCTCAGTGTATACCAAACCTTCATTAATGTCATCAGCTCACCATGAAAACACACACAAACTTGCACACACATGTGCAGGGACCGTTTATACCCTCTGAAAAATGTAGAATGATTGTGCTTGTGTCAGGCAGCTACACTTATCTAAAGAAGAGTGATGACTGGGTTTACAAAAAACGCTAATTTAAGGCCATGTAGATTCAAAAACCCACACACAATCATAGCGCACCTTCGGTTATGTTTGTACATGAAGAGAGACATGTAAAAAGGTCTTTCCGGTTTCCTGTGGAAAGTGGCCAGGGAAAGGAAACTACCGTGTATAGTGAGGACACAAACACTCAGTAAGTGTGCTTGAGTTGGCAGTTTGTTCCTGAACACTGTTGGCTTGGTTAGGCCATTAGTCACTGATAGACACTGGGCAAAAACAGAAAGAAAACAGACTGAAAGAATGAAAAGAGACAAAAAGACCAGAGAGGGACAAGACTTCTGATTTTGTCAGTCTGTGCGTGCATACAGTAAAGCCTTTATGTCTACTACAGAGAGATAGAATGAGATTCAACAATTGTCTCTCAAACACACACACACGCTGAGCTCTGGGCTTTGATCACTCACATGCAGAATAACTCCTTTCTCCAGCAGACTCTGTTTTTTGGCAGTCATCACAAAGTAGTGCGTGTCATCCTTGTAGTAGACAATGTTTTCCAGGTCAATACCTACAAAGTCCAAGAGAGAGACGTATTGTCACATTCCAAACAATCATTTTCCTTCTTGCTATAGCTGGCTGTCGTCATTAGAGGAGCAATTATACGACTCAAAGCACATAACTAAAGCCCCGGGGACATCGTCATGTCAGCAATAAACTGTGGCAGGCTTGGCATCAGACCTAATGTAAGCATTTTAATTGGATCAGCTGACAAATTCGGAAATGTCATCCGAGGAGAGATTATTTGTCCTGTTTACCTTTATTTCATATCTCTTGGTGATCTTACAATTCCCAAAAACTTTATTTTGTCACGCTGCATCCTAAGGTGTTTTTAGTTACCTTAAGAAAAGAACAAAAAGTCCTTACAGCAATGGAACGGAACAGAGCTACAACCGACCTGTTGCTTCTCTGAGGTCTTGAAAGAACTTCTGATTGAAGATGAACGCCACCCCGCTGATCTCCTCAACCTTCGCCTCCGCTGTTGTGTTCCTGTTGATGAAGTTAGCGGTGATGGCAATGGCAAGCTTGCCCCGGAACTCCTTACGCCGAAACCCTGGGGCAAGGATTAGGAAGCAGAACTCAAGATTAATCAGCGCACACAGACCTGTACTGCGACACGGTAAATCCTCAAAAACAAAAGAAACAATATTTTCAACCTTGTTTGCTTTTACAACTTATCAAACCTGCCAAATGCATAATGTACTCTATAAATGCAACCAGATGTTCTGTATCATGACAACATAAACAGATTTCTACTTTTTCAAGCTGTGTGATTGTCGTTCATTGTTATCCCAGAGGGAGCCTGCTGCTTCCCTTCACTGATGCAGCAATCTGTAGTACAGAGACGGGTCATGGTACCCTACTCCACAGGGGTTCCCTTTGCCAGTGTGGCTGCGTGTGAGGCCTCAACACTCACAGAGGAAACAGACAGCCAATTCAACAATTCCCTATTCTGCTCCGCTGGGAGAGCAGCAGTTCAGCAGTCTTTGAACGCATCAGCTAGACACAAACAAAAACATGCTCACACAGATGTGCACAAATGCTCATTCATACGTGAGGAACGGCGTGAGGTCAGGCACCCGACCACAGCTGTACACAAGTGAGATCATAATCATTCTGACTAACCTCCAAGTCCGCTTCGAAAAAAACAAATAGTGCCGTTCATGCTTTGTCTTGTTTAGTCAAGGGAAAACTGCGTTACTAATGCATTGCTCCCACTCAGTGCATGAGGACTTGCCTGGTAGTGTGTTTCTCCTTCCGTCTGCTCCAATGATGACATCAAACTCCAGCTCGTTGACAGGGTGTGTCCTGGGGTGGACCTCAGCCCTCCAACCTATCCCTAAGAAAACACAGCATTTGTAATCAGACAGAAATGCATCAACAGAGCCAGTTTAGAGGCACTGACTGATTGCTCTCAGTCTCCATTCATTTTTCTCTGGCTTGTCTGGCAGCAGTTTGATTCACTTACTTTCAGTCTCTTGATCTTCCGGGGGCTCAATAAGACCCTTGAACTCTACGTTGACATGGATCTCAATGCCCAGCAGGAGAGACATTTTGAGCAGCATTAGCTGAAGCTGACGGATACCTACAATACAGAGAAGGAAGGAACATCCAGATGACATCAGAACTACAAAACCCACAAACGCATCAAAACACAAGACAACAAGACTATATTAGTAGTGTAAGGACTCGAGAGCAAAATGTATCACATATACTCACTGATATGATCGATTGCACCCGCACAGAACTTCCCATAAAACTTCTTGGCCCCGAGGCCCCTGAGGTCCTGGATGGTGAAGGGCCAGAGGTGCAGCACATTGTTCCTCGAGAAGGCATCTCTCTTCTCCAGCAGCACCACTTTGGCCCCCAGGAAAGCCAGCTCGATGGCTGTACGTAAGCCACATGGTCCCGCACCAATGATCAGACACTAAATACAGATGCAAATGTTATAGACAAGAAGAATAAGAAAGATATCAACGATACACATGGAAAACCAAGTCTGGACAACACAAGTCTCTGCCCATCTTTTGCTGTAGACTGCACCTTGACAAAGCATGCTGACACTTCCATCTCTCTTATTAAAAAGAAAAACACCTGTACCTATTATACTGCTTTTAGTTGTATATCTGGGAGGGTTGCATTTCCAATATTTTGATAACAGCTAGCTCTTGTTCCATTTGAGTTTAAATGTACTTATTCTATGTCATTTTGGACAAAAGCATCTTCCAAAGAATATATAGTAAATAATTGGAAGCAACACACAAAGAGAAATATCTTATAAAAGGCAATCGTTGATGAGCTAAGCTAAGCTAAGTATAGGTCAAGCTAAAAAAAAATAAAAAGTTAACATAGCTAAGACAACACAACGTAAGAAAACAACGTAAGATAACAAAACATAACATAAACTAAGATAAGCTAAGCTAACATAAACTAAGCTAAGATAACATAACATAAGTAGCTAAGGTAAGTTGGAATAAGACAACATTTTTATTAGTTGAATAACGTGAACTTAAAGCTATTTCTAAATCACAGTTCATAGTTTACTAGCTGCCAATTATACTTTTCAACAAAATAATACAGCCGCTTTATCCCTTATTCTGGGGTCGGCTACATATACACTGCAAACGGGAGGAGGTGACAAATCAAATTTGTCAGGTGAATTGAAGTCTCCTCAACAATAATGAAAAAGTGTCCCTGCAGTGTCCTTTCATATAAAGCAATCATACCCCGGTCTGCCTGAAAACACTCTTAAATGAATCACGCAGTTTGTAATGATCCAGGCCCACCTTTGAGTTGGCACAGGCACGCCCTTTCTTGTACTCCTTCTGGCTGGCCCTCTTGTCTAACTTTGCCCAGAGCGCCTTGGCCTTCCAGTAGTTGAGCTTGGACTTGAGCTTATGATAGAAGATCCTGGAATCGGTGGGCTTTACTTCCAGGTGGTCACACAGCTCCTGGAAGGCCTTGAGCGTGCCCTTGCAGGTGGTCGCCTGGACAAATTTGTCGAACAGAACGTGGGACCGGTTAACCCCATCTCCTCCAGTTGCACCGGCACCTCCATCCCCCATGGTCCAGACTCACACAGGGCTGTCAGGGCCCCTTCACCCCCCAGGCAGGGGTCTCTGGGTCCAGCCCCAGCCCTGGAACACGCTCTCTCTGGTGGGGGACTCTAACTCCCAGCCTCAGACATCTTCATTCTGTCAGGGAGAGAAATAAAACTCGGTAAATTACAGAAAATATTTCAACCATCTGCTACAAACTTTAGAGCTGTATAAAACATAACCACGGGTCATTATTGGGCAGAAAAGCAAACTAGTATGATTACAGCTTTCAAATGCTTGAATGACAACAACATCCAATCCAAACATAACCAAAAACTTTCCTTAGATGCAAGGACCCTAGTAGAGAGATTGTCTTCAGGCACCCTCTCAGTACAATGGGTCCTGATATTCTTTATCCAGACAATCACATGTATGACGGCTGGTCAGACAAGCAATCAAAGCAGCGATTAAGGATGAAGACCAGGTTACTCGAGGTCTTGCCAGCATTCTTCTACAGCGACGTGACCTAAAACAACCTCTTATCCATCTAGGCATGAGTCTGCCGGACACAGGAAGGGCACTGAACCCACACAAAGGCCACACAGGAAACTCGCAGGGCAAGTGTGCAGATATGTCTGTGTGGCACAAATAACTCCAGACACAGGATATAGCTCGTTCATCCCAAAACACTATGAAACAAAACACAATCTTTGAAACAATGTTCAAAAAGAAGCCGAAACCGAGCAGTTTAACTAGTGTACGTGCCCCCTGGTTATTATATAGCTTACTGTGTAAATACTGAGTGAGTTGAGTTCCTGCTATGACTTGCAGCAGTGCAACGTTATAGAGTTCTGCCTTTTCAACCCCAGGGGGACGAGACCATTCGTGTTGTTTGCCGTCTGTGGCTCAGCTGTCATGACTGGAATGTATTAACTGTACTGAGGAGCACGAGCAGCCTTTAAAGGTCAGCGTTACTCAGCATTAACACAACTGTATAAAAGAAACAGAGAAAAAGAGGACGAAAGAAATGCAAAGCGCTAGGACAAAAGTGATAATGACGACTGCAAAAAAACCTCCTTGTTTGACACAGTCTATTTGCTGTGTAATACGTTCTCAGGCGAGCGGTGGTTTGCATTCTCCCTGGGGCAACAATGCAAAAACATACTTTTTTTGTTAAGAGCTTCACAATGTCTCACCAAACAGGATAACTCTCACTCAACACGAAGAAAGATTATGCCAAGAATTAGCATAGTTTGGAAAAGAAACAATATTGAATGAATATATATTGTACATGAATACAGCCAAGAGACTGTAAGCTAAGCTTAGCACAGCCTAGAAACGAGAGAGTGGGTGGGATGTTGGAAGACCCTGTCCAAAAGTAATAAAATCTGCCGGTCAGTACCTCTAAAGCTCACTAATAATATGTTATTATCTCAGTTTTTGTACTGATTAAACAAACAAGATACAGCACACTAATTAGTGAGTTTTCGAGATGCTGGTAGGTAGATTTTGTTACCTTTGGACAGAGCCGGTTTAGCCGTTTCCCCTTAGTTTTCAGTCTTTACACGAAACTAGGCTAAGCTAAGATAAGCTTCATATTTACCATTCAGACATATGAGTCAATCTTCTCATCTAACGTTTTGCAAGAAATGTGGATTAGTGTGTTTCCTAAAATGTCAACCTACTCCTTTAAGGTTATATAATATGTTTGTGGAAAAAAGCTCATCTGCTAAGCCAGTGTCGAGACGTTCATCAGTACATTTTAATTTGCAGTACGGATTACTTTAAGACATCATAGTCTCACTGATCGAGAAACAGATCGGCAATAATTGTGGTGTTAAACATTTGTGTTTGGGACCTACTCTTTTGCTCTTAGGGGCAGAGTCCCTGATCAGGTGAAGAAAGGACTCAGCGAAATCCCGAGGAACAAACATGAATATTTATACTGTCAGCCACTTTCTCTGTCAAAGCTCGAGCTTTGTACTACACTGTCCAGGATGTTGAGCTAGTTCATGAAAACCAATGAAGTCCCAGTCCCAGTGGCAACACATGATGAAAGGGAGGCAGGTACATAGGTCAGCTGGCCTCCTTTACACACTCTGCCAACTCCTAACTGCAGTGAAAACAGCAGGCTCTGGGTCTGGCTCTGGGTCTGGCTCGGCCTTAGTCAGTCAGGATCAGACCTGAACGGTGCAGTGCCAGCACAGATGGAAAAGGCCTATTCCAACACAAGCATTTAGATCACCTGCTGCATCACTTCCTCTATGAGTGAGCATGCATCGCTTGACTTTCACCTCAAAATATTATTGCAAAAAACACAAGCTGTGAGGTCCATCTGAACCGGCAGAAGTTGTGGTCTGTGGTTATCTATCTGCACACACACACTACACATCTGTACTCGATAAATCATCTGTGACAGACCCCCACTCGTAGTATCGTTTTAGTAGCTTATATGCAAAGTACTGCAAAGCACTAGACACTCTGTATGACATACAGTCAAATATTCAAACAGGTATCCTCTGATCGATTGGGTGTCATAGGAAACAGCCAATGTTCATTAGAAATGACTCAGATGATGGTCCTTAATTCGCTTGTCAATAATAATGACCGTGGGATCGAAAACGGGGAAGGCAAATACATAAACATCACTCAGATAGTTAGCAGGCATCTGAAGCCTGTTCCTGTTTATCTACACAAGGACTCAGGATGCTGCGGTTGACTGCAGAGCAGACTGAGAGATTCAGTCAGGCTTACAGTTTATTTTGCGTGTAGAGTGTGCTGGGGGGCCTGTGATAGCATGCTGTGAATAAACAGAGATAAAAGTCAGTTTTGAGGTTATTTTCTACACAGAAAGGGACCACTGTAGTGTAAGAACAATCCATGAGAGTTAAGGTGCAATAAGTGTAGCATCTGATGAATTAGTAAGTGCAACAGCGACTACAATGATGTCTTTTGGTTGGCAATGTTTGTCTATGTGCATCAGGTATCTCTCTGTCTTTAAAAGGTGTGAAATCAGCTGATAAATTAAAATCCAATCACCCCAAAAAGCCTCACAGGAGCATCTTAAAATAAAACAAAAGTCTGCAACGTCTGTTCTGCATTCTTTCACTCTGCTCTTTGACCCTACTGGTGGTTTTCAACTTCATGACCGAAGACAAGCAAAGAGATCGCAATTCATCAGCACTGAGTTATGAGGCAAAGATGAGGAAAGCAGGTCATCACAAACACAAAAAAAGAAGACACATCAAACAGAGCAGGAACTTTGGAGGATGGTCCCAGAGGCGCAATAATTCATCTAATGGTGAAGTCAAATCTTTTTTGCGAGAACTACCTTCAGTCTCTTGCTACGCTGCTCTCCCCATTCATAGCAGAGACAAAAGTGATTCCCTCTGTGGGCTTTTCCGTTTCCTGTAAAGACACAGTTTATGGCGTCGCATAGAGAGCCAAGCATGGGAGATGAGAAGATAATATAACCTTTATGACACACATCTGAGAAAGCTAGCAGTAAACATCTAAGGCACTTTGAGGTCTTTGAAGGAAACGAGGGTGCAACTACCCACTGACATGCTGTGTCACAGTATGCTTGCGTGAGATGTCAAAAGATGGTGCGGCTCAGGCAGGTCTGCTGTAAAGTACTACACCTTGACCCCAGCTTAATGACAACAATTAACCTGGCCTATCATTTGAATAATAGCAGCCAGCCCATATGTTGCACCGTGTGTGTCAGAGAGAGGCTGAGTGGTGACGGAGAGAACAAACACAAGACGGATTATCACACTGACATTGCCAGAGCTACAGTAGATTATTAGATTACCAGAGTAGCACTGTGACATTCATAGCATCAAGTAATGGGAGAAATGGGGAAATACATGACTATTTACTATTTTCTTCTCCTGTAGTAAAATTTTTAAAAAGCTTTTTTAAGTGGATCGCACAAAGAAGAAAAATGAAAACAGCTTTGGTTCAGTGCACGCGCAAAATCTTCTGACATCTGGATGAGCTGCAGGATTTCACACGTTCACAGAATACACACAAGAATTACACACATGCATGCAAAGCCTTACACACACACAGCAACCCCCCATCCACCCCACCCTTCCCCAAACAGACACACACACACGCACACACAGAGACAGCATGCCTTTGCTTTTTACTGGTTGTGTTACATCATCCTCAAATCTAAAAATAGATCCAGAGATTAGGCCACTAGGCTACATGTTTGACAGCACTGCTTTTAGGTCCTGTAAACACTCTTACTACCAGTAGTAATAAATACCAGACTATAAATAAGAACTTAATAAATAATAAGGTAGTGGCTTGCATGTTTTGCTTTGTTGTTTTTTGGATAGTTTGGTCACAGTGAAAAAAACAATCTGGGATCCCACATTGTGCCATGTTTTTATTTTGCCTGCATCCAATTTAATTTTCATTCCACGATCAAAGTCAGACTTTTAAATAAAAAAATACATAAAAGGAAAAGAGAATAGACAATAATATGGTGTCCAAAACATGTCATTTTCTCTGTCAATATAACAGAGGAGAGAATACCGAGGATAATCTGTGTTTGGTGTAGTGCTACTCTTACTACAAAAAAAAAATAAAAAATCAGAAGCTTTGAGGTAAACAAGTTGGAATGAAAGCATGGGATGACTGTAAGCTTGTGTCTGTGTCAGTGTGTATCCTAAAATAGCATTTTGTCTTCGTCAGTCTCCAGCTCAGGGATGACTGATGCTCAGAGGACACCCTGGAGATGAAAGTAATATCCCGTCTCCTCCTCTCATCCATCAGGAGACTTGGCAGGGAGCAGCAGAGAGTGCAGGATGCAATGTGATATCGTTACAATAATGGATTTACAAGCAGAACATTTAGTCCTTCGAACTTGTAGCAGACCACACCTGATTCGCCAGTTCGAAAAACCCGTAATAATGGCTGGATTTGACTGTTTCTTCCTGTTTGCCGTAAGACAACTGTGGTTTTGTCTTTGTTCTTGACAGTTAATGATCACCTTAACATCTCTCTTGTACTCATTATGACAGTCACTGGAGATGTCTTTATTACAGTTTGACTATTACGATAATTACAGAGAAATGCAGCAGCAGGTGTGGTCTATTTAGGGGCTGCCTGCAGCCTGTAAATAGATCACACTGACAACAAAA